AAAAAGGATAAATGGGAATGATTGCGCGTATGATTTTATGTACATATTTATATATAAATATATCTATTAATTTTTAATTAAAATAATATTTAAAATATTTTTTATAATTAATTCTAAATAATATAATAAGATAGAGTAATAATTTAAGCGAAGGCCCAAATCTACATTTATTTTTTTATAAACGATAAATAACGATTTTTAAAATTTATTACGAATACAACGCGCTCTTCGAAATCATGTTTTTTGGAAATTTTAATAACTATACAGATATTTTGTACACGGTAGATATATCCTTGAAAATTTACCACTTTTTATTACCATTTATAAGCGTCATTGGTTTGATATTCGATATATTGATTCTCCGGATTACAAATGGTAAAAATGGGAAGAAATGTGGAGGAACAACCTTTTTTGGCATAACAATCTCCTTTTTAAAGGAAGAAAAAAACGATTTTTCCCATCAACTTTACTTTATATTGAGAAGGATTGTAGCAGCGGACATGGGCGCCAACATTTGTCTCATGGTTGAAGCGTTAGATTTTATTCTTCAGGACAGATTCGAATCGGTGTTTAATCACAAAGTACCATGGATATTTTATATCATTCATATAAATTTTTATCTGCTCGAATGCTTCCTAAAGACTTCCTTATTCTTTACACTGTTACTATCTTTAAATCTGAATATCATCTTAACAAGTCCCTTATTGTATAAATCGTTAATGACTAAAAGACGTATAAATTATATAACACTCGCTATTTTCTCCTGGTCACTGGTCTTAAACATACCTAGTCTCTTCCTAGTGCACGTTTTAACTTTATCTCTTAAAAATTATAACGGGTATTTTATGGGAGCCGAAAATTTAAGTTTAACATTGGCTACCAGTGCACCACAAACTGCTAATAATAACATCATAAATGTCTATTATTCTGACATTATATCTTTTGAGAATGTCAACAAAGAACCTTGGTTTTTGCGCTGGAACAAATGTCGGGAAATGGGTATGACTATTTTGCCACTCATATCTATAATGATATCCTACATGTACGCGGTCTATAAAGTCAGAGAGAATTTTGCTAATAAAAGGTTGATGTTGAAAAAACGATTGATAGCTATGAAAAACAATCATATTACAAAAAATCTGGTATATCGAATATCTCTTTTTTCTAACAATCAAGTATATGATATGGTGAGGTGTCAAGATGCTCCTTCATTTGGTGTTTATAGATCTCGAAACTCTTCCTATTTTGCAAGGAAAAACAACTTTAGTACACGTCAAACGAATTATATAAGTCTAAAAAATAATAATTATACCATAATCTGCAATAAACAATCTAATAAAGCCAAAATCAGGTCACACATAATTGTATGTTTGAGCATTCTGATAGTAAATGTTGTGTTATTAGTTCCGCAAACAATATTGAATTGGTTAAAATTGAACGGTAAACTTGATAATTTCTCGACTTCGATGACTTTGAGATATGTCGCCTGTATCAAATTATTTGAGATTATGAAGAATTCAGTTAGTTTGTTCAATTTCTTAATATTGCTATTTAACAATAAAAAATTCAGGCGGATCATATTTCGATTTTAAATAAATACAACTTATTATTTACTCATTCTCTCTACTTATAAATGAAGGAATGTCTATGTTTTTTAAATTTTGTATAATTTATTTGATATAATAATGAATATTTTTTTACACAAATTTTTTTATATAATATTTTTATAAATATGGCTTTTTTTAACGTTTGCTGAAGATATTTTTTCAAAATCATTTTTTTAAAAAATTCTAGTTAAAATATATATTTCATATTATTTGTTGATTGGGGTGGAAGAGGAGCATTAAATTTTAATGCCCATAAAATCTATTTATATTTAGACATCATAAATGATATTCTATCTTGTAACACCAAATTTGATTTAACATAATATACTTATAATAATTTTTATGCAAATGTCATATAATATTTTATTTTATATTGAACGAGTTTTTCTATTTTCCAAAAATAAAAAAATTATAACAAAGAATTAAATATTATTATAATTAAATTATATGCTACCAGGAATCCAAACCAAACCATTAAACCACTAAAAACCGGTATTTTTTATCCAACCTAAACCGCTAAAAAATTTCTAGCCGAACCTGAGCCGAACCGCTAAAATGCCTATGAACCGGTTCGATTCTTATAATTATATGCTTATAAAATAATGTGTAAGTTATTACTAGTATATTGCAAAAATTTTAATTATATTCGAATTGTTGATAAGTGTCAGTCATAATTTTTATAAACTTTTGTATATTGCCATTTTACAACATTTTTTAAATATTTTAAGCTTATAAATTTATGCCTAGAGAAAAATTAATTCTAATATATAAATTATTTACATATAATATTATAAATGACACATCAAATCTGATATCGTACTGGCAGTGCCGGGTACCCAAGTTAGTGAGGAAAGATGTTTTTCAACAATTAAATTTATATTATCTCCTTATAGATGTAATTTGAGTGAGACGAATTTTGAAAATATATTAATTGTGCGACTTAATAAAAAAATTTTAAGTAATTGTTCCATATTAAAATTAATCATTGATATTTATTTGTTATATTTATAAATTAAATATTATTTTATAATGTGCAATTAATAAAAAAGAAGGTTATATGCATAGGCGTAGCCAGGGGGGGGGGGGGGTAAGGGGAAATTTTCCTCCCCTTCAGAAATTTATCACTTTTTATGAATATATTTTAAGCTAATAAAAAATATCCCCCTTAGTCCTTTCCCCACTCCCTGACCCTCAAAAATGTATGCATATATCTTTAACAATAATTTGAAAGAAAGCATGTAAAAGTTGATATTTTTTTTATAAAACTGTTCATCATAATTTATACATTTTTGGAAAAAAAGCATTTTTATACATTAAAAGTGAACCAAAAATGTTTTTTTAAGAAATGGAAATAAGCCAAAGATACGTCTTAAGACAAAAGTGAAATGTATTATAATTATTTATAATATAGATCCATAAAATTACTAAATAATATAATATTAATATATCAAATATAATTTTTTATAAAGTGAGTAATTTTAATTTATTTATCTTAATAAAAGTAAAATATAATTATAAAACTGTTGATAAAATGGAATCATAAATTAAATAAAAAATTAAAGCACAATACAAATAGTGGAATATTATATGTCGTAGATTTACAGTAATTTTATCAATTATCATATGACAATCAAGTAATTTTTACCAATATAGCGAATTATATATTTTACAGAAAACGTTAAAATATTGATAAGGACATCAGAAAAATGTCTTTTAAAGACATTGTGGGATGAATAATATGAAAATTTTATCATTTTTTATTTATAATAAATAGATGGCGTTTAATTGAATGCAAATTGTTGCTATATTTATTATCAAGAGCATTGATTAGTAAAATTTGTTAAAATATTAGCTGTAATATATTCTCTAACTGTCAAATATGTCTGTAAAAGTGGAATTTTACCTAGTATTTTGTTACCAATTCTATATAATAGAGGAACATCAACTATATGTCTACTTACTTTTAATAAATAATTTCTTATATGTGTTTGGAGTAAATTATTACCATGCTTTTATATTAATGTATATACAAGTAATTTATTATATTTTATATTAACTAATAAAAATATATTTCATATTTGTTCCAGGCTTATTTTTTTTTATTAAAATTAACCTCCTATCTTGTAAAAATCTTATGACTATATATAAACTAAGGTAACCCGGTCGAAGGCCGGGCAAAAGCGGGCCTAGTGCCCGCCCAAAATAGGTCTGGGAGCGAAGCCCCCAGTAATTTTTAATTCCCTTCCTTAGGAAAATCCTGGCTAGGCCTATAGTTTTATGTATGTGTTTTTTATTTTAATTATGAAATAAAAAAAATTTTTCACTATACATAATTCGAATGTAGGTTGAATATAAAAGCGTTCAAACCGGTTTTCAGAGGTTCGAACCTAACCGATATTTTTATTTTTTGCGAACTGATCCTAAACCTTGAACCTTTATTTTTATCCGAACCTGAACCGATATTCGTTTCGGTTTGGATCCCTGTATGCTATTAAATAAAGTTTCTCGTTATTTTTTATGATTTTTAATCAAATCCTACATTTTAAACAGTTTAATTTTACTATAAAATGAATTGTAATTATAATACTCTAAAAAAATACAATTACATGCAATTAGTACTAGTGTTGTTAAATTACCTAACTTTGACAATTTCTATTGTGGTTTAGTCAATAGACACTGGTTGTAAAATAATAAGAAGACATATAGACCAAATAAAAAAAGATCATGCGAGACAATAACGGTGAACGAACCGATAAGAAATTTTGGAGGGGAAAGAGGTGAAAGACCTGTAAGAGCAAAACGTTTACCGAGTCATTTCAAAGACTATGTATTGAATGTCAAGGAATACAAAATTATTTGGAAAAAAAAATTATAAACAACACGCGATTTAATAAAATTAAAAAATGTAATAAAAAAAAATATAAAAATTAAAAAAAAATATATAAAAATTTAAAAAAATATATATAAAAAAATAAAATTATCATTCTATCATTCTATGGACCATTCGATTTGATTCTTATTATAATTATTCTACTACAATTCATTAAATGATAATGATAACGAACAAAGAGACGAACATAAAAACGAACAAAGATATGAACAAGAAGACGTATGATGAGACGTTGAAATGATGATGATGAATAGGACAGAAACAAGAGAAACTGGGATAGCAAAGAATTACTCAGAGAGAGAGTTAAGATAGTTAAAGGCGATCAAATTCAATTTATTATGTTTAAATTTTTCTTATTCTAATGTTACTATGTAAATGTTTTCAATTACTTTAAAACTATATATACATGTCTTTTTTTATATATTTTACATATACATTTTATTTTTGATTGAAATTGAAATATAACTTTTACACAAAATGAAATATAATTTTTATACAAAATGTCACAAACACGTAATGTTGTTGTCATTATCATTAAAATCTTCGGTCATGTTATTTACGCTTATGTTTAACAAGTCAAAATCTTTGTTTTCTGCTTTATCACTTTTAAATTCATGAACTCCTTCTATGTTTACTGTATTAATCTTGTTGCCATATTCAAAATTATATTTCATTTTGTGTAAAAGTTATATTTCAATCAATCATAAATAAAATGTATATGTATCGTATATAAAAAAAGACAAGTATATATAGTTTTAAAGTAATTGAAAACATTTACATAGTAACATTAAAATAAGAAAAATTTTAACATGATAAATTAGATTTGATCGCCTTTAACTATCTTAACATCTCTCTCTCTGAGTAATTCTTTGCTATCCCAGTTTCTCTTGTTTGTGCCCTATTCATCATCATCATCTCAACTTCTCATCATACGTCTTCTTGTTCATATCTTTGTTCGTTTTTCTTTATTAATCACTAGTTTCAATAGATCCCATTTTATCTTTGTATCATGTGAAAATAATAGTTTAATCGGTGCTATACCTGTTGAGCTGTTCGGAGTATTACGATAATTAAATAAAAACCTTTCTAGAGCTATGTGTCTAAATTGGTGTTCTCTCTTTCTATGTTTCTCTTCATACTCATTTTGAAGATACCCCCCATCCTTTCCACCTGACCGTTAGACTGCTGATGGTAAGCGGCGGTTAGGGTGTGTTTGATTCCGTGATCTTTGCAAAATATATCGAACGAGTGACTCGTAAAGTTAGTACCGTTATCCGTTACTATTTCTTCCGGTATTCCAAATATACTGATTGTTTTCATAAGTTCTTTTAAAGTGATGTCTGTTGTGATAGATTTGACTGGAGTTATTATTGGGAATTTACTGTATGCATCTATTATTATTAACCATTTGATAAAAAGGCCCCGTATAGTCTATATGTATTCTTTCAAAAGGTTTAGAAGTAGTAACCCATGGATGTTGAATGGAATTGGGATTCGATGCCCAAATATTATATAATTCACAATTTTTTACTTCAGATACCGTGTTCATACCTGGCCAATACATATAATCCTTAGCTAATGCTTTGGTCTTTCCAGCGCCTAAGTTTCCGATGTTTAATTCCTTCAACATAGTTTTTCTCATGCCTGCAGGAATCACAATTTTGTTTTCTTTGAACAAACAATTATTTATAATACTTAATTCATTTTCCATGTTTTTGTATGATTTTTATACCATCACCTTTCCTTATGTCGTTAATAATATCTAATATTTCTTTGTCTTTATATGTTTCCTCTAATACTTTATTAAAATTAATCGGAATATCCCATAAGTTGTTTTTTGTGTTGTCCGTGCTTATATTATCAATAGTTTCCTTATCTACACTGAGTGGTAATCTTGATAGACAGTCAGGAACTGTATTATATTTACCTGCTCTAAGAATTATTTTAAAATCATAAGCTCCCATTGCTATATTCCACTTTTGTAAACGCATTGACATCGAAGTATTTTCTTTTAATCCTTTGGAAAAGATGTAAATCAAGGGTTTATGGTCGGTGATGATAATAAACTTCGTACCTATTAGGTACTCTTAAAATCTTTTGATTGCAAATATTATGGCAAGAGCCTCTCTCTTGATATTTGTGTAGTTTATTTCTGCCTTTAATAATGTTCTTGATGCAAAGGCTATAGGTTTTTCCTTTCCGTTGCTCTCTATATGAAAAAGTACTGCTCCAAGTCCACGTTTGGATGCGTCAGCAGCCTATAGGTGAGCTTGGATTAAAATAATTTAATGTAGGAGGTTGACTGATTAATGTTTTTATTTCATTGAAACTTTTGGCATGTTTAGCTTCCCATTTCCATTTTTCTTTGACTATTTTGTATAGCATGTCTGCTAGGTCGGCAAAATTATTTAAAAATTTTCTGTAGTAACTTGCCATACCTAAAAATGTAGAAAGTTCATCAGACGTTGGTTTTCATAAATACGCTCTTTGTGAAGTTTGGTGTGAGACCATATTTTATTATTCTTTCAAAAACTTTATTTATATTTTCTATATGTATTTCGTCATTTTTACCCGTTATTAAAAGATCGTCAATTTAAAATATTACATCTTCCATGTCTCCGAATATTTTATCCATAGTCTGCTGGAATAAAGCAGACGCAGTTTTGAGACCAAAGGGTAATCTGGTAAATCTGAAGTATCCTTTGTGTGTAGAAATGGTCAATATGTCCCTAGAGCTCTTATCTATGGGAATTTGCAAAAATGCGCTTTTGAAGTCGATTTTGGTGAATTTGTTTCCTTTTGATAGTTTTGCTATTAAATCGTCTATTCTTGGTATGGGATATTTGAAATCTTCCAGCGCAGGATTGACTGTATCTTTAAAGTCAGCACATAACCTGAGACTTCCATCATCCTTGAAGACTGGAGTTAACGGACTAGTCCAACATACATCTTTTACGGGCTCTATTATTTTGTCCTGTATCCATCTGTTTAATTCTTTACCTACTATATCTATTCTGGAGTATGGTATTCTCCTCGGCGATATTATCTTTGGTACGGCATCTTGTTTTAAGCAAAGCTTGATATTGGTTTTGCAGATGGGTTTATCGGCCATTTTTAGTTTGTAATCAAGTATGAGTTTGGTAAGTTTATCATTACAATAATCATCATCTATATTTCCTACAAATTTTTTTAAAATATTCTTGAAGTAACTTAGCCAAGTTCTGCAAGTAATGGACTCTTATTGCTATTAACAACGATCGCTTGTAAATTTTTAGTTACTCCTTCGTAATTTACGCTGATTTGCGTCGTCCCTAATATTTTGATTTGATAGCCGTCATAGCCTTTTAATTTTAAATTCGATTTCTTCAATTCACTGACGCCTGCGCTCTTAGCTATCGAACTAGGTATTATTGAGAACCTGGAACCTGTGTCAACCTGCATGACCGTTGACAGGTTGTTCAATTTCAAAGTTACTTTATACGCGTTGTTGTCATTATCATTAAAATCTTCGGTTATGTTATTTACGCTTATGTTTAACAAGTCAAAATCCTTGTTTTCTGCTTTATCACTTTTAAATTCATCAACTTCTTCGATGTTTACTGTATTAATCTTGTTGCCATATTCTATCTGATTTCTAGTATCGTTATTTCTGTTGTAATTGTAATGTGATCTATTATCATATGGTGATTTGTATTTTGGCTGTAATCTTTATTGTTTTGACTTTGCTGTGAATCATTATTATTGTAATATCTATATTGTTGCGTGTTATTATTGAACCTTTGATTGTACCTGTCAAAATTTCTTGCATTATTTCCATCATTAAACCTTTATTAAATTTTCTGTTGTCACTGTATTGATTGAATCTGTGGTTGTTGTATTCATGTCTTGGGAAAATTTTTCGAAAATTATTGGAACTAGTAGAAAGCCCGTCAAAAATGACGGGGAATAAGATTTTTATTCATTTTTTACGATAGATATCATGCCAGGTTCAAGTTCACAATATTAGGAAGCATCCAAGATCTTATAATTATAAAAAAGTTTATCAAGCCCAGCTCAACCCTTAATAACTTGTAAAAGATATTCCCAAGTCAGGTGCAAGCTAATATTAATTTCGAGGTTCTTAGCTCAGTCCTACCCATTATAATTTTGAAAATTTTTTCCCGCCTCGGAGATAGTTAAATTTTTAATATCATCACATGAACGGGAAATATCTGATTTACCAATTAGTCTAATATGAAAAAAAAAACATGTAAATTCCGTATTAAGGGAAACTGGGAAGGCCTGGGCAACCAATTATTAGATAATCATGACAAATAAAATAAAAATAACCGACTCTTATACTTTTTTGTAATATGATCAATTAAAATTATATCTAAAAAATATGTTGTTTATTATATAAGGTTATTGTTGTTTTTCAGATAAATTTAATGTATGTATTGCATTTCTGAAATTATTTGTCAAAGAATTTGATAAGGGATATATATTTTTTGCTGTCTATTTAAATTACAAAAATGCCATTAACACTAATGAAACTTATATGCAAATTATTTATATATTTTTTAAGATATTTTTTTTTATTGACATATAAATTTAGGATAATTTTTTTAAAAAATAATGAGGATTATTTATTATGTATTTGATAAAATTAAGAGCAAATCCTTGTTGACATTTTAATTTTTGATGGAAAAAGTGACAAAATAAATATGGGCGGTCATCTGAAGAGGAAATAATTAATGTATAATTTTATATCATTTAGGGTTGTAGATGAAAGTAATGAAGGATTAACAAAGCAGTGTACAAAATACATTGCGTCCTGATAAAGATGATATGCTTATGCCTTGGGATACTGGTAAAAGAAGAACGCAAAACGATATTTCTGTCAATGTCAGCATTGGTATCCCCCTCTAAAATAGAATTATGAACGACAATGTTAACTCAACCATAAAACGGTCGTAAGTATTGTTATAAAGGCCACGACAGAACTACTGCATATTTTTCCATTAATAAAGTTGATGAAATTGGCCGTACTGTACATTCAAGTTTGAACATTCCTCTAAATATTCATGAAAGTTTCTCAGAGAATCGGATAAAGTATTATTTATATTAACTCCTAGTGAAGTGAATGATAGTACAGAATTGAATGCTTATATTTGTTAAAAAATAGGCGGAGGTGGCATAGATGGTAGTGGTGATAGAAATATCATTTGGAGAACGGGGTGAAAATAAAATAAACATAGATATAAAACATAAGATAAAAAAAACAAAATAAACCTCCAGATGAGTTCATTTCAAGCGTAGTTCTTTATTATTTTGTCTACCAGTAACTCTAGAACGGGTAAGGCGTTTGTTTAATCGTCATTATTTCGTTGCTTATCTTTAATATATATTCATCATGTTTTGTAGCAATGTGACGGATTAGGGTTAGCCTAGACAAATAAAGAAATCAGGCAAAAATATAAATAAACTATTGTTGAAATTAAACAAACATTAAAATAATGTAAAACCGGTAGATGGGTAAATTAGATGCATATTTCTAGTAGTTGGAGGGCTATCCTCAAAAAAATTTTTTGGGGGACTTATCAAGCCTATTATGATATTCTAAAAGTTAAAAAATAACATGATGAATGTAATGTTATTAAGATTAAGGTTAATTAATTGTAAGGTAATTAAAGAAGATATAAATTATTATAATATAAAAATAATAAAAATTAAATTAAAGGAATTGATAAGGTTTTGATAAATAGTGGTTAATAGATATTAGATATAGAAAGAAATGAATGAGATAATAAAATTTAGCTATAAATAAATTCATTAAGGGAGGGGAAAAAAATAAAGAAAGAGTTATTTATAAGGATTGGAGATTATAAATAAGTTAGGATAAGAATATTTAAATATTTGAATATACTTGATTATCTTCTTAATTATTGGTTATGAAAGAAAAATATGAGTATAAAAAATTGTAATGTAAGTACTGACAAAAATAGTGAGTATGTTCAAAATAAATTTACAAGTCGAGTATCTTGTAAAGATTTCATTAATGTGTAATTGATAATATGAGATGAAAATTGATAAGGTAATCTAAAAAATAAAGAAAGGATTAAGTGAGATATTAGCCTGAATCTTTTTATTCACATTGATATTTAGAAAGTTGAGGGAATATTGTTTATATCAATTCAAGACGATTTTTCAAATCTCTCAATCCATGTTAGGTATGTGTACACCATCAATTCTCTGAATTCCATTCATCTGTTTGTATAAAATAAATAAATAAAATCAACAAATAAAAAAAAAATACGTACCGATGACATGACGTAGCGATGACATGATGTCACGATGACGTAGTGAGGACATCGGAAAATTATAATATAGATATGGTCTGTAGTAAGTATCGAATCTGTTTTGACTGTTGTATCTTATATAATTCTGATGACGAGGTATATAGTAATTATTTTTGCTGTAATATCTTTGACTGTCAAAATATGGTCGTGGAGCCCATTGTTGAACATAATTATTATCATAGTGTGCCAATTGTTTATTATCGTATTTGCTAATTTGTTTCGCGTCTGACGACTTTTTGGTTTCTATAATACGTTTTATCTCTAACTCAGCTTTTGGTTTATCATCCAAGCCTAAAGTGTCTAGTTTAGTAATAGCTTTATGAAAAATAATATCTGTATCAATATCCTCTACCTCACTGCCTGTTTTTATTATCTCCTCTATATTGTTTAGATCTTTGATCGTTTAATATCTTTTGACAAAGTAAATATTTTGATTTTCTCAATGGCTCTATCCTCAGTAAAGTTGCATTGCTTACCTAGCTGGCAAATCTTAGTCGCCCATTCTATAAATTTCTCATCCTTAGATTGACTCGCGTTATAAAAATCTAAGATTTTATTATTGACATTCTTTTGAGGATACAATATTTTAAGTATTTTATTATAGAATCGTAGTTGTTAAATTCTGCATCGCTACTTAACGCTTGTAGTTTAATATAGAT